ATGAATCCGGTGACCCCTGTGAAAGGGTCATTTGAGCCCCAGAGGGGTCATGACCAACAGGTTGAGAACTGCTGGCTTAAAGCAAAAGGCTTTATGGTGCATAAAGAGAAAGCCATTGTGGCAGGAGAAGTCAGAGCAAGGGAGAGAAATGTGGACTATTTTGCTGAGATAAGAAAGAAACAGATCGCAGCCTTTGTAGTACTCAGTTACAGTACAAAGTGCAAAAGTAGAAATTACAAACTATAATACAAACTACAGGACAAAAGTACAAAGATCATAATCTTTGTAGTACTTAACTAAGGAGTAATTTGGGGTAAGGGAAAAACTAAGCAAAATATTTACCTTTGGGAAATTCATGCTCATATGAAAGCATAGAAAAGTATATTTACAAGTTTAGTTGTTATGTAAACTAGTGGTCTTATTACTTTAATTTACATGTTTAATATATCCTCTGGTGGCACAGTAAATCACTTGCAGGCTGGTAACTGCAAGGTGAGTAGTTTGAAACCAGCAGCTGCTTCTCTAAGAAACATGAGGCTTTCTACTCCCGCAACGAGTTACAGTTTTGAAAACTTATGTGAACAGTTCTACTCTGTCATATAGGCTCACTCTGGATCATATTTGACTCAGTGGCAGTGAGTCATATTTCTGATTTAATATGGTTAAGTGAATCAGGGCTGGGAGTAGAAACTACTGGAAATATGTTTATCTGTGAGTATTGATTACACAAAGACATACAACTGTGTGTATCATAACAAATTATGGATAACACTGTGAAAGATGGGGATTCCAGAACATTTAGTCAGGTATTTTGAATCACATTTGCTCACTACTGTACTTCCTTTGATTTCTAGATTACTGTTCCATGAGTGTAGATATGGATTCAAATAAGATGCAATTCTTGACAACTTCAACTTTTTCTGATTTTTTCAATATTTTCATGGTGGTGCTTAAAGGTCCTCTTGTGAGGATTTTGGTTCTCTTTAGTTTGAGGTGGTGATAGGTAGGTTTATTGTGCCAACCTGGCCAATAGGAGCATTGAGTGAGTGGTCACGAATCCAATTGCAGCTGCCATTCCAGATGTGATTTCCTTGCTTGAGCAAATTAATACTTCTCCTGGTCCTTGGTATTCAGCTATTTGTCTGGCTAATGCCTTTTTCTCAATACCAGGCTCAAAGAGCCACAGAAGCAGTTTGCCATCACCTGGCAGAGGCAACGAAACACTTTCACTACTCTCCCCTAGGGGTACATCAACTCTTCCACCCTGTGCCATAATTTAGTCTGAAGAGATCTTGATTGCCTGTTTTTTCTGCAAAATGTCACACTAGTTCAGCGGTTCTCAACCTTTGGGGGTCGAACTACCCTTTCACAGGGGTTGCCCAATTCATAACAATAGCAAAATTATAGTTGTGAAGTAGCAATGAAAATAGTTTTATGGTTGGGGGGGGCGGTCACCACAACATGAGAAACTGTATTAACGAGTCACAGCATTAGGAAGGTTGAAAACCACTGCACTAGTTCATTATATTGATGACATTATGCTGTTTGGACCCACTAAGGAGGATGTGTCAAAGACATTAGGTTCATTGGTACAACATCTGCGTGCAAGAGGCTGGGAAACCAACCCAGCAAAGATTCAGGCACCCTCCATCGTAGTAAAATTTCTAGGAGCCCAGTGGTGAGGGGCATGTTGAGACATTCCTATTAAAGTGAAGAGTAAACTATTTAATCCAGCCTCCCCCAAAATTAAACAAGAGGCACAACGCCTAGCAAGTTACAAGGAAGGTCTCCAATTTCGAGTGGGGCCCAGAATAAGAAAATGCTATGCAACAAGTTCAGGCTGCAGTGCAACCTGCTTTGCCACTGGGGCCACATGATCCAGTTGACCCAATGGTGCTGGAAGTGTCAGTTGTAGACAGAGATGTAGTATGGAGTCTTTGGCGGGTCCCTATTGGTGAGTCACAGCGTAGACCATTGGGATTTTGGAGTAAAGTCCTGCCATCCTCTGCAGACAACTACTCCCCCTTTGTAAACAGCTGTTGGCCTGTTACTGGGCCTTAGTGGAGACTGAATATCTCACCCTGGGCCACCAAGTCACCATGAGGCCTGAGCTGCCCATCATGAACTAGATTATTTTCTGACCCTCATAATTATAAAGTTAGACGTGCACAGAAACACTCCATTGTTAAATGGAAGTGGTATATATGAGATCTGGCCAAAGCAGGACCTGAAGGGACAAGTCAGCTTCATGAAGAAGTGGCCCAAATGCCCACAGTCTCCCCTTCTGTCACTTTACCTTCTTTCTCCCATTCTGCACCTATGGCCTCCTGGGGAGTTCCTTACCATACTTTAACTGAAGAACGGAAAATTCATGCTGTTTTAACAATGGCTCTGCAGATATGCAGGTGCCCCTTGTAAGTGGACAGCAGCACCACAGCCCCTTTCTGGGATCTCCCTAAAGGACAGTGGTGAAGGGAAATCCTCCCAATGGGCAGAACTCCGAGCAGTGCACCTGAGCATTCAGTTAGCCGGGATGGAGAAATGTCCAGATGTGAGACTGTATACTGATTCATGGGCTGTGGATAATGGCTTGGCCGAATGGTCAGGGAATTTGAGGGAACATAATTAGAAAATTGGTGACAAGGAGGTGTGGGGAAGAGGTATGTGTATATACCTCTCTGAATGGGCCAAGAAAGTAAAGGTATTTGTATCTCATGTGAATGTTCACCAAAGGGCTATCTCTGAAGAGGAGGGCTTTAACAATCAAGTGGATAAGATGACACGCACGGTGGAGACTGGTCCTTCTCTTTCCTCTGTCACTCCTGTCATTTCCCGAGGGCACATGAACAAAGTGGACATGGTGGCAGGGTTGGAGTTTATGCCTGGTGCAGCAACATGGACTTCCACTCAGCAAGGCTGACTTGGCCACTGCTGCAGCTGAGTGCCCCATCTGCCAACAGCAGAAGTCAACATTGGGTCCAAGATATTGAACCATTTCTTCGGAAGATCAACTAGCAACCTGGTGGCAGGTTGATTACATAGGACCTCTTCCATCATGGAGTGGGAAGCATTTTGTAATTACTGGAATAGACACCTACTCTGGATATGGATTTGACTTCCCTGCATGCAATGCTTGTGCCAAAACTACCATTCATGGACTTACAGAATGCCTCATCCACTGGCACGGCATCCCACATAGCATTGCTTCAGGTCAAGGAACTCACTTCACAGCAAATGAAATGCAGCAATGGGATCCCATGCCCATGGAATCCACTGGTTGTATCATGTTCCTCATCATCCTGAAGCAGCTGGCTTGACAGAACGATGGAATGTCCTCCTAAAGACACAATTACAATGCCAGCTACGTGGCAACAACTTGTGGGGCTGGGGCAATGTTCTCCAGGAGGCTGTTTATGTGCTAAACCAGCAGCCAATATATGGTGCTGTGTCTCCAATAGCCAGGATTCATGGGTCCAGGAACCCAGGGGTGGTAGCTGGCATGGCACCACTCACTATTACTCCTAGTGATCCACTTTCAACATTTTGTCTTCCTGTCCCAACAACCCTGTATTCTTCAGGCCTGGAAGTCCTAATCTAGAAGGAAGGAACTCTCCCACCCAGAAACACAGCACGGATTCCACTGAACTGGCAGCTGAGAATGCTCCCTGGCCACTTTGGGCTTCTCATGCGTTTGGATCAACAAGTCAGAAAGTGTGTCACTGTACTGAGTGGTGTGATTGATCCTGATTACCACAGAGAAATTGGACTTGTGCTACATCATGGAGATAAAGAAGAATATGTCTGGAATCCAGGAGATCCTGTAGGCTATCTCTTGGTACTACCATGCCCTGTGATTAAAGTAAATGGTAAACTACAGCAACCAAATCCTGGCAGGACGTCTAATGACCCAGATTCCTCCCTGCAAAGAACCATGGTCAGCTGAGGTCCTGGCCGAGAACAACTGAGATACAGAATGGATAGTAGAAGAAGGTGGTTCTACCTATTGCAAAAATGAGGTTTGTTATGTCACTTTATCTTCTTCATATGTCCTTATTGAATATCTTTCCTTTGTCTCTGTATGATGTACCAGATGCAATAAGATTCAGTGTATTTTCATTTATATGTATGATAGATATTTGATGTTAGGTGTAAGTGTGATTCCATTAATGTCTGAAAATTATGTATGGCTAAAGAATTGTGTACAGGTGCCAAGTTGGCAAGGAGTGGGTTGTGATAGGTAGTTTTATTTTGCCAAATTGGCCAATAGGAACATGTAGGATTAATAAAGCTACAGTTTAATTGGAGGGCAAAGAGATAAATGGCTCAGCAAGCCCCACCTCTCTCTCTCTTGCTTTCTGTTGATTGGACCAATGTACGGCTGCTTTAGCTAGTTCTGTGCCTCAACTTGTGAGCTACACTACCTGTGGGACAGCCAACCCATGGATCATGTCACTATAGCTTGAGATTTCTTGGAGACCTGCTTGGCCATGCTGCTGGTGTATACATCGCTTGAGCTTGGGGTGTCAGATCTTGTTGTCTTGCTGACACTTGGTGACCTGCCCTGTATGTATGCTGCCTGTGGCCAGACTGCCTTCGCTGCTCTAAGGCTCAGCTGTCTGTTTCCTTGACCTTGGACCCAGTGGCCCTTGTGAGTTGAAGGACTACCAGTATATTAACTGTTCCAAGGAAGTGAGTTGAACTGAGCCCTCTGTATTACTGTGTGGACTAATTAGCTGTTATATTCCTTCATGCTGTATCTATCTATCATCTATCTATCTGTCTATCTATCTATCTATCTATCTATCTATCTATCTATCTATCTATCTATCATCTATCTATCATCTGTCTATCTTCTATCTATAATTATAAATGTCCTGGTTTTGTTTCTCTAGAAAATACTGAATAACACAGAGGTGTAATCTAATCTTACACTCAAGCCTAGAGTTATTTATTTCCATCAGTAAGCAGGGTTCAAGTCCTCTTTGCTTTCAGAAAGCAAGGTTGTATCATCTGTACATCAAAGGTTCTTAATGAATCTCTGTCTAATTCAGACAGAGCTAAACTGTCTAAACTCTGTTCTTCTTCATGTAGTTCAACTATATATTCTGTCTATCTTATTAGGCAGCTGAAAGGTAGCCAATTATTTTTGGTAAGGGGACTGTATGTATTCATGTTATCTTCTTTTGATATTTCTTGTATCAATATTTTACCTATAGAATCATTCAAGACAGCAACTTGAGACTTGACTTTTTAAAAAATATTTTTAGTTCTTTTGGTTGGAAAATGTCAACTGTGTTTTTCCTTTTGATTTCCTAACACCTGGTGTTATCTCTGACTGGGGACCTTATATAGTAAAAGTAAAAGGTCAGATCATCGATCTGGAAACTGAATCCTATTTACTCTCTTGAAGTGATAAAAGCAGCAGTGATTCCTGTCGGAAAGCATGCACTCACCATGTGTACACTCAGCGGAACAACTCAAGCAGTTAGGATGGTGGAAATTACCTATACCAGTTAAAGGCAGTAGTGACAGGTCTCACGGATATGCAAGTACCACACACATCTCAATCCCTGATGTTGATAACTGCCTGCTATCTATTCTCACAGGCACCACTTTCCTATGTCATTAAATGGGGAGCATGAACTTACCCATAAATGAAAGTAAAACTATGGCCAAAAGAAATGCTTAAACAAGTAAAGGGTTTGTTTGTTTATTTTCTTTTACATTTGTTATCAAACATCATGTTTATGACCCAAGAAGTGTTTAAAGAAGATTCATTTATTGCTCATGTTGAGTTTTTAAAAAATTAACTACATTATGATGTTACTATGGGCTTAAAAAAGACTTATGCATGTTTTTGTTGGTCCCTTATAAACAGCTTTCGTAATAGTATACAATACTTTTCAGCATACCTCATTTTCAAATGCATCATATACCCTCTGCTTGTGAAAACACCAACGTATCAACAGCTACTATAATCACCTTTCCCTTGTGATGAGGAAACATCTGATATTATAAAGCCATGATTGACTCTTACGATGAGGACAATTCATTTCCTACCTGTGTTGTAATGTTTAGTGCAGTGTCGCAAATCTTTCTCTTCTTTCAACAAAAATTGGGGCAAAGTCAGTCCTTCTGCCACTTGAACAGGCTCTTCATCTTGCCACTCAAAAATGAGGTCATTCATTGTGTAGCCAACTAGGCAAATCAAATTAAAAATAGTAAGAACATACAAAATACATGCAGAAGAATGAAATAATACTATTCAAGAACTGCTTATATAATTCACACAGGATGGGAGGAAAAGTGCTGTCTTCCTGTTATTGACTGCTCTGTGCATTATTCAAGTGCATTTCACAAAAGTCTACTGAAATCTATTCATGCAGAAAACTCATCGTCTGTTAAGAAAATAATGTAGGCAAATGAAAAACCATGGGATAGTACGAAGAAACGTAACAGCTATGTATATTGTGCACTATTTTCTAGCATGGGCAACAATCGGGCTAATTCAGCAATTTTAGTTTTGGTTCTACTCAATCAGTTTCCCCCGAACCATATCAACCCTAACTCTTAAAAGCTGAATTTTCCCTGATTATAAAATTATCTAAACGATAGCATATAAATTCCAGTTGAAGCTTTTTTGGTTTGATCAGTAACTATTGTAGTTAAGGTGTCTACTTTTATATAACAATTCCCAATCTAGAGAGAATCATACTTTAAAAATAAATATTTGCAACTCATGAAAAATCAGAGCATCAAGAAATTTACGTGGAATCATTGTGGAGGTGGAAACACTTGTACACTCTTGCAATGAATTCAGGAGAGACTCAACTAATTCATCTTGTGATAAGTAATTTGTGGTAGATTAAATATTCTTATTTATGTAGAGGAGGTATCTTCCATGAAAAAATTCTTGAAATGTGAGCTTGGAAGCAGCGTAGAGGGAGTAAAATGTGCATTTGTTGCTAATTAACTTTGAGACATAAAAAGAGAGAAGTGTGATCTATCTTTATTGCAGAATCTATAAGACTATGGACAGGAAACAAAGGGTAATGTCACAGATTCTCCTGGAAACAAGCTTGCGGGAGTGTGGGGTATGATGAGAAACAGCTGCGTGGAGGAGGTTTTGATAGGTAGGTACTAAGTAGGGACAGGGAAGGGTTTCATTACCCTTAGTCCCCCTCTCTAGAGCTTGGAAAGAACCGTCCAGAGACACAGAAAACCTAACCTACTGTGGTGGTAGAACCTTGATCCAAAGACCTGATGGCAACCATGGACCTTTGAGCACACCTAGCATCATTGGCTCCGGTGGCAATGGGGATCATGGTATCCAGAGAATTCATGACTAAAGGATTTCTTGGAGTGTCTGGAATTCTGCTACCAATGTTAACTTGTTTATGTAATCGGCAGTAACTCATTATGGAGTGGTTACTATTCTGGTCGAGGTGGGGAAGTCATCCAGACTACGTTCTGGTTTCAGAACAGAGATAGTTCTTCAGGACTTCCCTTGGGACTACCAGATTTTTCACAACTCAGGAGCAACACTTGGCTTGCTTACACAGGAGTACCTCTTATTGAAACCTGCAACTAATAATTGCTGTAGTATTAATAATGAAAAGGCTCTACTTTTTAATGATAAGTGCATTAATACTCAGTATAAATACCATTTCACCTAAAGGGGAAAATTAAGTGAACATTCCTCAAAAATGCATGGTAACAAGTGTAAGTCAGCGTCAATTCTTTTTGCTCTATGAAAGTCACGATCCCTCGTCTTCCAGAAGCGCAATCCCTGAAGATACAATGGGTGCGATCTTTGTAAAGTGTTACAGCAGCGGACTGTCATGTGTGTCTCCCAGGGAGCAGCTCGTGGGTTTAAACCACTCTGCCTGTCAGTTAGCAGTCAAGTACTTCAATCCTCTACCACCACGGCTCCTTTTACAATTCTATCAATTAAATTAGTGTCTAACACCGTTTATCCAACTGTCATTGAGTCAATTCTGACTCATATCATCTGGACTGGACAGAGTAGCCCTGATCCCTAGGGATTTCAAAGCTGCAAAGCTTTATGGGAAGAGGAGGCATCATCTGCCTCCCTTGAAGCACCTGGCGGCGTTCAAGGCTGCTCCTGTGGTTGGCAGCGCACGGTGAGCCCATTCCACCACAAGGGCGCCTAGCCCAGTTCATAAGGAACACATTTAACTTGTTCTTACGTTATAGTCACATTATTTGGCATTTCTTAATCCAACTTTTATGTACTCTTACATAAAATACATTAGTTCAAAAGAGAAGAAATATAGTGAAATATATATTAGTTCAAAAGAGAAGAAATATAGTGAAAAATAATGAATAAGTATTCACATAAATCCCTTTATTGGGAATAATTAGTGGATGTTGAGGAAAATAGCTACATGACAACAGTGCCACTATAATCACCTTTGAGCATCCCTTTAAAAAGCCAATACCCTTCTCCACAGTTCAAAGTGGTTAGCCTCCTTCTACTTTTGGCTGGAGGATTTTAATCTAATCTGATCATGTTAAGGAGAACAGCCTATCCAATGTGATTAAGGTTGTGGGCTCAATTACTTTATGATAATAAGTTTCACAATGAAAAATACTGTATCCAGGGGACAAAGCCATTTGCCCCAACTTCTGCGAGCAATCTGTGTGTTAACTGCAGTGGAACATGCAGATGAAGGACTTTCTTGATCACTCAAGCACTCTGTTAGGCACCCTGCAGAGGTTCAGAGAATGGAGGCAATAGTACCAATTTTTGTTAGGTAGCACCACAGATTTACCAAGTGTTATGTAAATCAGAAAGACGCTTCTATGGATATATTATCTTGTTAAGCGTCCTTTGTGCTGGATCTTGAAAACTGTTTTGGGACCTGGGTATAAAGAGAGAAAGTGAGATACTGCAGATCCACGGACCAGCACAGTATTGGCTGGCAGTGTACGCTCTCCAGGCCTGTGACACCGATGTTTTATTGTTATTCCTTTCAGGCCAGGGAAGACGCAGGGCCACTCATGTATGATAGAATAAGTCACTTTCACTCCCTGTACCACTCTCACAACGGTGTCAATCCATTTCCTTGATGCCTTCCTCTTTTTCTAAGACCCTCTGTTTTACCAAGCATGAAGTCCTACTCAAAACATCTGCATAGTATGTTCAAAATATGCAAGTCATCCTTGCCATTCTCATTTCCAAGGAGCATTCTGGGTATACTTTATTCAGGAAAATGTACTTGTTTTTCTGACACTCCAATATTCTTCAACATCACAATTCAAATGAGTCAATTCTTCTTATTCCTTGTCCAGTTGTCCCACAATTCTGAGGCAATTTTAAAAAATCATGGCTTTGTTCAGGTGCACCCTAATCTTCAAGTTGACTTGTTTTTTGCTTTTTAGCCCTTTTTAAAAAGTTTTGTTGCAATAGAGTCACACAATACAATGTGCTGTTTCATTTCTTGACTGCTGCTCTCATAGATATTGGTTGTGGAGATGAGTAAAGAAATTCTGGACAACTTCCACATTTTCTCCATTTTGTTCCATCTGGGTTTTGCTTCCCTTATTTTGAGTTGTCATATAGCGTAAAGGCTGTAGTCTCTGATTATCTGTAAATGCCACAAATCTGCTTCACTTCCTGCAAGGAAGCTTGTGTCATCTGTCAATCACTGGCTGTTAATGAGTCTTCCTCAAAGGCCATTGCAACTGTCTTCATCCTGTAGTCTACCTCTGAATTCTTTGCTTTGTAACAGGAATAGCAAGTAGGTGCATTTGTCCAGAACCAGTAAGGAGGATAGGAAATTAAAGCATGAATAAAATTCTATAAAATATAAATTTCAGGTGGAAAACTGGTTTTCCTTCTCCTTGTGGACAATGATAAACAGTTAAAATATTTTGTCCAGGGTAGATGTGACAAAGCTGTACATTAGAAATAATACTCCAAAAAAGTCCCTGAGGAGGATACACAGGTCAAATTTTCTTTTACAATCATAATGTTGTTATTGTTGATTTTGTATGGAGTAGAATTGTTCTGTGCAGTTTTCTTGGTTATAATCTTAAAGGAGCATAGCTGTTTTGTGGCCGGCTGGGGAAGTTCAAACTGCTGACCTCTTGGTTAGAAGTCCAATTCAAACTGCTTCAGTAGCCCAGGCTCCTGCATAGTGACATGGGTTGCTCCGCAGTCGCAGCTCACCAGCAACTCCACAGAAGAAAGATGAGACTGCGCTTGCTCAAAACCGGACGGCCTCAGACTCCCCAGTTCTGTTCTGTCCTATAGGATCCCGGGAGTGGGCGTGGACTCGAAAGCCGTATTCCCCCCACTCATCTTCTTGCTTTTACAGCTTCAGAAACATCGAGGGACAATGCCCTACCCTGGGGGTCCTTATGAATTGGAATTGACTTCATAGCAGTGAATTTTGATGTATTTTTTTCTGATGTTGACATTTGCTCTGAAGGTAGAAAGGCAATGATGGTGTGATTGGGCTTGTAGGGCTCTGGCAGGTACCAAGAGAGAGGCGTGGCTGTGCTGGAGGTCATTGTAGTCTGCACACCTTGCAGTGAGCACACTGTCACGTTTATTTATGAAAAATAGTAACGATTCAATAGTGACAATTACAGGATGAATCTGTAAGAATGATTCGCATTATTTAGTAAACAGCTTTAAGTCAACATCTTTTAAAATATTTTGTATGTTAAAATGGGAATGGTATATAAAATGCTTCTGCTGCCTAACAGTGCAGCATTTAAAAAGCACTCCGTTGCTAAGAAAAAAAGTCTCTGTTTAAACCCATCAGCAGCTCTGTAGGAGAAAGATTGGATAGCTTTTCTAATCTGGGCAGTTCTGTCTTATGGACGGGATTCGTTGAGACTGGTTGGATGCAGAAGGTGTGTTGTACACTCTGTATTATATGGCACAATTTCCTTACCTATTAAAGCTCTGCCGTGATTGCTTTGTTGTGGTGGTGGTGGTGGTAGTGGTGCTGGTGTGTGTGTGTGTAAAAAACTTTTTTCACCTGGAAGAAATGACCTACAGATTGTAATTTTGTTTGCAAATGTGACATATCATTATTCACAAAACTAAAGAAGTCAACCTATCATATCAAGGGAAACAATGGATGCTATCTATTATCGATTATTTGAGATTTCAAGTAAATACTAGAAATTTAGAAAACTTCTTTTCATCACCATGAGTTTAA